ATCTGATTATAATCGATTTAAAATAATTTGTAACATGTAAGAGTAAGAACACAATGTATGTTTTAATTAGCTCGAACTCTAATTAAAAGCACACACTGTTCTTACATGTCAGATTATTTTAACAAATATAAGGAGCTTTTTATTTTTCAGACAGAGTTTTGAATATAAATAATTATTGTTTATCAACATTTTGTGATTTATTTATTATTCAACAATGGTTAAAGTGTGTGTGGTGCGAAGTTGATTGAATACTTTAATGCATTTACCTATCCTACGCGCCAAGAAAAAATATTGCATTAATCTAAATTTATAATTTATAGATTCCACTCCTTTCACGTATAATTTGTCCCTTGCTTCTCATACGAAAGAGTTAGATTAAAATAGCCAAACTGTACCTAATAACCCATATGCCTTGACGCATATTCTTTTTATAATAATATGGGCTTTCTTTATCCGCCGGCCCAGACAAACATCCATATCCATAAAATATGCTGGCCCACACACACAATATTGATAAATTAATAAGACCTCATTTCGGCCTTCAAACGTCCTTCGATAATCAACGCCGGCTAAACTATCGACCTACGTGTTGACAAGTTGATTAGGCAGGTTATTGAACTCGTGTGGCATCGAGCATGTCGTTTTTTCAAAGATGGGTCCCATATAAACGCGGCCAGAAGTATTTTCAATACTAAAATTTACAAGCACAAACGTGGCACAAACTGACAAGCAAATGACCAGCTACCGTGACCACCATAGATAAAAGACTTATAATATCAATAGATAGACAACTTATAATACATTGCAATATTATTATACAAGAGCGCTCCTGGTAGTCGGAGGAAGAAATATTATCGGAACAGCGGAGTGCGGGGAAGGGGGGATTGATTTAATCTGATTATAATCGATTTAAAATAATTTGTAACATGTAAGAGTAAGAACACAATGTATGTTTTTAATTAGCTCGAACTCTAATTAAAAGCACACACTGTTCTTACATGTCGAAAATTATTTTAACAAATATGATGATAAAAAAATCAATAAAACACTAATGCTATTAATAAGTAGGAATTTCTTAATTTATTGAGGTCTGAAAACTTTAATGATAATATTAAAAATTAAAATTAAGTAACATATGGGAAAAAATATTTTATAAAGATTTAAATACCGTTTATCAACATATTTTTGAAGAGAAATATACTCAATAGACATATCATATTTAAATTACATAATTTCCGATAATTTATTTTTCTCTTTTGTATTTTATTTATTATTTGATTAATTAAGATTAGTTAAGCTACTTACATTTAAGACAATTAAAATATATTATCTAATTTTATAATCTAAAAATATGAGACATAGACAGGCCTCGCATATATGCCTAGATGTCTTATGATTTATTAAACCTAATATAAAATAATGAGTTAAGTATAGAATAGTACTTACAAATAACAAGTAATAGTAAGCTATTTAAAAAAAATGTAACAGCAAAAAACGTCGCTTTTTTAATTCATAATAATAATCAGTTAATTCATAATAATCAGATTTAGTCGGTTGGATGAAAAATCGGGACGTGTGTATACTTCGATGGAGATCTGACAAAAAGACGTAAGTGCCATTTGGTACTTTTTTCAAGAAGAGGAAAAAACTGCATATTATCAATATAAACTATTATTTTGTTTCAAAAATCATCAAAATTCTCATATTTTAGTTGTACTAAGCCTATAATAAATAAAAAAATCAAAAGTCTACCAGAATTCGAAAATCCATATCCATAAATAGTTGTAGCCACACACACACATACACTGATAAATTAATAAGACCTCATTTCGGCCTTCAAACGTCCTTCGATAATCAACGCCGGCTAAACTATCGACCTACGTGTTGACAAGTTGATTAGGCGGGTTATTGAACTCGTGTGGCATCGAGCATGTCGTTTTTTTAAAGATAGGTCCCATATAAACGCGGCCTGAAGTATTTTCAATACTAAAATTTACAAGCACAAACGTGGCACAAACTGACAAGCAAATGACCAGCTACCGTGACCACCATAGATAAAAAAGACATAATATCAATAGATGACAACATAATACATTGCAATATTATTATACAAGGAAGGGATTGATTTATACTGGGTGTCGATTTAAAATAATTTCCAACATGTAAGAGTAAGAACACAATGTATGTTTTTAATTAGCTCGAACTCTAATAATTAAAAGCACACACTGTTTTTACATGTCGAAAATTATTTTAACAAATATGATGATAAAAAAATCAATAAGACACTAATGCTATTAATAAGTAGGAATTTCTTAATTTATTGAGGTCTGAAAACTTTAATGATAATATTAAAAATTAAAATTAAGTAACATGGGAAAAAATATTTTATAAATATTTAAATACCGTTTATCAACATATTTTTGAAGAGAAATATACTCAATAGACATATCATATTTAAATTACATAATTTCCGATGATTTATTTTTCTCTTTTGTATTTTATTTATTATTTGATTAATTAAGATTAGTTAAGCTATTAAGACAATTAAAATATATTATCTAATTTTATAATCTAAAAATATGAGACATAGACAGGCCTCGCATATATGCCTAGATGTCTTATGATTTATTAAACCTAATATAAAATAATGAGTTAAGTATAAAATAGTACTTACAAATAACAAGTAATAGTAAGCTATTTAAAAAAAATGTAACAGCAAAAAACGTCGCTTTTTTAATTCATAATAATAATCAGTTAATTCATAATAATCAGATTTAGTCGGGTTGGATGAAAAATCGGGACGTGTGTATACTTCGATGGAGATCTGACAAAAAGACGTAAGTGCCATTTGGTACTTTTTTCAAGAAGAGGAAAAAACTGCATATTATCAATATAAACTATTATTTTGTTTCAAAAATCATCAAAATTCTCATATTTTAGTTGTACTAAGCCTATAATAAATAAAAAAATCAAAAGTCTGCCAGAATTCGAAAAAATCCAGATTTAGCGTCGCTTACGTCTTTTAACGAAATTGTTTGGGGTTTAAGTCCCGATTTTAAGGTACTTACGTCTTTAGCCTTTAGATAACATTAAATTAACCTGTCGTTTACGAATCTGCCGATATGAAATGTACAGCCAAAATTGTCGCATACGCATAAGAACAATTTTCCCTTTGGTTAATAGAGAACGTAATAAGCGATGTAAGAATACTACAAAAAAGAAAAATGCTGAGTTTAATTTAAAAGAAATGTATTAAAACAATACTAAACAGTCTTATCCTTTGTAGGTTTTTCTTTATAAAATATTTATTTTAGGGGAAAGTGGGGACCATTCGGCATATTTACTTAAATTTCACTAACTTTTGAAAACCTCTAAAAAAAAGAATTATAAGTGTCTCGATGAATTTGTGGTAGTATTGTGTATTGATAAGGCGCACAGGCAGATTTCTGCTTAACCAAGTTCCAAGTATTTTTTCAGTTTTTACTTTTAATGTAAATAGCCGAATCATGCCCACCGGTGGTGATCATTCATCTAGATTCTAGGACTCTGGGATGTTTCGGCTACTTTCAAGCTTAAACTCAAACTAACTCAAATAAGTTACAAACATCAGTAAAATAAGTGTTTAATGCATAGTAACAAATGAACAAAACTAATTCAAAATATTTTGAACAAAAAACAGGACATAGGTACTACGAGTATAGGTAATACATCTATTAGAACTTAGACACTAATTTTAACGTACATTCAAAGAGTAAAAATTTACGTTAAACTTATAGGCACTAGATGTTCTTGATGTTCCTTGGACGGTAGAATGTGGTAAAACTGCCACAATAGCATTAAAAGATATTAGTGCAAAATCGTCTACATCAGGAAAGAGGAAGCAGTTGGATTATCCTTTTCTTCTTAAAAATTTCACTTCGAATTCTTCGTTATCCATAGAAATGATTTGACCAACATAATGAATTTGGGTTTTATTGGTAATAAATTTGACCAAAACAAAATTTCCAAGAACAACCTTGTCTTCTTTGTTACGAGCACTTAAATTCAACCAAAAATCTTCTTCGCCTGATGACTCTCCAGATGACATACAAACACTAGACTCACTAGATCTTGAATCATTGCGCTTCTTATTAGTTTTCACTAAACTTCTTTTTGCCGACTTTAATGAGGATTTGTTTTCTTTTAGTGACCGTTTCCTTTTTCGTTCTTCTTCTATTCGTTGTCTATTTTCATACTCTGGTGTATCAGTATAAACTGATGACTTAGATTTCTTTCTACCTTTCTTGACTTCCTGCACTACTGGTGCTTTTGGATAAGGTCTGATTTCACATAGAGAAGCTCCAGAGGATGTAGTAGCTAATATTGGAGGAGTTGTATTACCCTGTGATGTAAGATTATCACTTGTTATCTGCTTAACTTCATTTTCATTACTGCTACTAACTGTGACATTTTGCTCACCTTTTGATATGGAAGGTATCGGAGATAGTGAAACTGTGACCTGCTGTGAGGGAATATTATCGTGAATACTTTCTAGCGGCGGATTATTTTCCTTTAGTGGTTTATCACTCACCTCGCTAGCTTCATAAAACTGTAGTAATTTCACCAAACATTAGACGATTCAATGGATAAAGGCCCGTGTGTTTAAAGGCGCTCACAATATTTTTGATTGTAAATGCATTCTCATAAGCTTTTTTGGCAAGGTATGCCAAATGTCTTATAGTTATCACCTTACCCGGATTTGAAAGAAGCCAGTCATGTTGAGCTGTGGCAAAATAAGATTTAAAGGGGCCATACACCCCGACATCAAGCGGCTGCATTTTATGGGTGGTGTGGGGCGGAAATGACATTAACACAATTCCGTGTTTACGGCACAGTCTAATAGATTCTACCGAAATATGGGATTCATGGTTATCCACCATAAGAAGCACTTTGTTTTCCACCGAGCATTTTACATAATTTGCAAAATGTAAGATCACATTGGGAAACAAATGAGAAGTCATCTACCCTTTTTTATTTCCTAGGGCGATTGCTGAATTTGGGTAATCACTACCTAAATATTCTTCAGGATTTCTGATCCTTGGATAGACAAAAACTGGTGGAACTGCAGATCCAGCTGCACTTATAATACCGACAAAGGTTACAAGTTCTCCCCTCTCTTGGGAAGATATATGAGCTACCTGTTTTTTTCCTTTGGGGGCAACAACTTTTGATGGCGGCATCACAGTTGTCAAGCCAGTTTCAACCAGATTAAATATCTTTTCTGGAGGAAATTTATATTTTTCCATAATTGATGCATATTTAACAAAAAAGTCATTCACAACGGGTTTGTTAAATGCCATGGCTCTGCTTATGCTGGTATTCTCTGGTTTGCGTAAGGATATCTCTCTTTCGTGTCTTGTCATGAATCCGCGAAGCCAGTCTAGTCCTAAAACACGAAACAAGTTATTTTTGAACAAATATCTAAAATCCAGCGTGTACATTATTCATATACCTGCCATTTTATTTAACTCCCAGTTTTTTGGAGACTTACAGTTCTTAATGCTCCGACTATAGTCATAAGCCAGAGTCCTAATTTGTTTGTAATTTAAACCATAGTTTAAATCAGAACACCTCTTGATATAAGTGACAAGCTCTGCCTCTTGACTAGTAGTGAATACTTGCTGGATGTGTATTTACTAGAAAATACAAAATCTTCCTCGCTTTCATGGCCAGAGTCCTCCAATTCTTGTAATAGTTGTTCTTTTGATTTATTTTCCGTAAGTTTTTTAATTCGAGATTGAATCGTTTGACGCTTTATTTGATACTCTTCTGCTGCTTTATATTGGCTTAAGCGCTTAGACAAAATCGCTTTAATGGCCAATTTTAATCTTGTTTCGCTTATATTACAACGGTTTGTCTTTTTTACGAACTTCTTTGGCATCTATAACAAAATTTGGACAAAAATTAACACCAAGGGGAACATTCGGCCGCCAGCCGAAACATCACTAGATTTGGCAGCCGAATGTTACCCACCAAGAAATAAAATATCTTTATTGCGACCAACAAAACGCACACAATATTTGAGGTTATGTTGATTCACTTGTAATAAAGACACGTAATATACGACTTAAAAACCATAATTAAACTTTTTTAAGTTAATAACCAACATAGCCTAATTTACTATTTTCAAGATGTAAAAACTTACCTTAAAAACGCTATAATATTTGATGATGTCCAAAATAGAAACAGATAAAACAATTACCATAATATACACCTGCCACAACTCCAAAGTAATACTTTTGACAGCTGACGACAAAATCCGCGCCAAATTTAAACATATTCGTGATTTATTGAGGGTAGCCGAATGTTCCCTATAACCGAATGTATACCACTTTCCCCTAATAAGTAAAAAATAATAAACTTAATTTCTTTATAAATATGTCAAGATATAAAAATAACATTAAAGTATTTTCTCAAATTAAACATAATTTCTTAACAAATAGGTTAGGTACTTTGCAAAACCTTGATCTAACTATATACTGCACATAACATGAATTAAAGAATTTTAAACTAAAAAATATCATTGTCTTCTATCCGTGGCGGCTCGTCAGGTGCAGTAGGTGAAGGGGCACACCGAAAAAAATACTCAAATTAAAGAAAAAACTTTACTGCTTAAAATATTAATTTAGTTTAATATATTTACATGTATCTAAATAATAAAATGGTAATTTTTTATAAATTATTTTTTTTCCGGGCGGACCTCTACATAATAGGTCCACCGCATCGTTAATTCCAGCCGAAAAAGTAGCATTATTGGTCCGCACGCGCCTACGTTTCCACAAAGCCACAAGTGAAGAGAAAATATTTGTGAGAAGAGCGGCTGCACGGTTTCCATGGTAACGTGACGTCAGCCTGGCGGCAGCATGTAAATTCCCCGCCCCGAAATTTTTTATCGGTGCCGATGTGAATGAGTTTTTGGGCAGTTCGCTTCGTCTTCCTTTATGCTAATATACGGCTACTTCGGCGAGTAATTAACCGTGTAAAGACTGTAAAGTTGTGGTCGATTATTTATTGTTGTTTGTTAGTGGTTTTTGTTGATTTAACTTGTTAATTTTTGCTGTTTGTTTTGTTGTTGTGTTTTAAAACTGTTTTGTGTGTATGTGTTAAAAAATGAACCCAATCAATGACTTGGTGTGGAATTTGAAACATGAAAAATTGAGCTGATTTACAAAAATTAGTAAGGTTAGTAATATAAATAAGTCAAATTTATTTTGGTTAATATTGCTTAGTAAACATTAATGTAATAATAATTAATGTAATAATTGAATAATAATTTAATGGCTCCTCGGTTGTTACCAACAATTTTTTCAATATCGAAATTTCAGTGAAAAAACCGAGGAAAAAACGTTACACCTATGAAAATTACAACCTTCTTCCACTGAATTCTCTATTTTGAAAAAAAATATCGGTTACAATGTTTTTCGGGGAAACCCTTCAATAAATACAGTGTTCATCATAAAGTTGGATCCATACGGACGTTTTTTTTGGTATTAGAGTTTAAAAAAATGTTTTTGTGGCAATCAATTCTGCTTTAAAAACAACTTAAAATGCACCAAGTCAAAGGTGAAACATAATTTTGTTAGCCACCTTTTTTAAAATAATAATAATTTAACCAATTTTTAAAAATTTCTTTTAAATATTTTGTATTTGACAGCTCCAAGATGTTAGCTGTCAACTTTGATTTGGTGCATTTTAAGTCGTTTTCAAAGCAGAAGTGATTGCCACAAACAGATTTTTTAAAACTTTAATATAAAAAAAAACGTTCATATGGATCCAACTTTATGGGAGACACTGTATATAATGTTTATTATATTTAATTTAAATTTAATTATTTTTTTAATATATTTTCACTGGAATGCAAAATAATGTGTTATCGAAAACTGGTTGTATCTCTTTTTACTGAATGTGTTTTAGTCCAAACTAAAACGAAAATATTATAGATATTAGTGTATAAATAATAACAAAAAAAATGTTGACAAAATAGTGAATGCAGCAAGAATTTTCCAAATAATATTTTAAAAAATGTTGACAAAATGGTGAATGCGCCAATTTTTTTTAAAAAATTTACTCTTCACCTAATTTTATATCCACGAGCCGTCACTGTCTTCTATGTCAGTATCAGGTAAAGTATCTGGAACGTTGTTTTTTGTGTTTTAAGTGAAAAATATTCTGTGTGATATTGAGGTTGGATGGTAACATTTCTACATAGCTCTATTAGGTTTTCATATTTCCTTTGGTTAATAGATAATTCAGTGTTGTAGGCTTTAGGCACATCTTTAATTGTTTTTATTTGAAACGGAACTTCAACCGGTATTTAAATCTATGAATATGATTTTTTACTTTAACGTTAGGATTATTTTTTTCAAATATAAACTCTACCATCTCAGAAAATGTTAAATCATTGTTGTCAGTATCTTTTAATTTTTTCGATAAAGCGATAGATTTCCAGTCTAAGAATGAGGAATATTCTGCTACAATAACCTCGTAAAATCGCTTGCATGAATTACGTAAAATGGTATGCCATTCTGATGGTGCTTGTATAAAAATTTTCTTTATCTTTCTTTCTATGTTAGCATGCATGCTGTCTACTGGCATATATATGTATATATGTGGCCAGGTACTAAGTATGTTATTATAATCCTTTTAATTGCGTTGGAGGTTTTTTAAAAAATATGTTAACATAGCCAAAAATAAAGGTGAGTTTCATAAGAGTTATGACTAAAATGTAAGGTTTTTGACATATTTAACATTTTCTAGAAATAAAGAACAATTTTTAAATTACAATAAAAGCTAGCTAAATTGGAATTTACCCGGTATAGCTTAATATGTAGTTAAATTAACTATTGTTCTTTAAGGCGCGGTCTCTTCAGTTATAAATAAATAACTTTTATCTAACAAATAACCATCTAAAAGATAAACAATCTAGAGCCTGCTATCTATAGGATATAACATTTGGGTATTTTCATACAAAATAATCCAAAAGATAACAATTTGGAGGACGGGTCGTCTACGGACCGTTAGACACTCCGTAGAGAAAGTGTTGCCAATATAAGATATCTGAAATTGAGATGGTTATATATGAAAAGTCGATACAACAGACAGAGACAGAAACTCGGAATTTCAAATCGTTAGATTAAAAAGTGAAGTTATTGTTCAGTTGTCAAAAGATCGTCAAAATGAAAATAAAAACAATCAAATTCAACTAAAATATATTTTGTGTTCAACTCCAACTAGTCCTATTATGGTATAGGCTATTTAAATTTACCTTTATGGAAAAAGGGAAAGATAATTCAATTTCAGCAGTGGTGGTGGTACAATAGATCTAACTGAGGATGTACGTAACTAAGAAATAGAGCATATTTTTTGGTTAGTTTATTTAATGAAGCGTACACACGGCTTTGGTTGCTGATTCTCGTGTGTCAACGTGTTCAGTACAATACGATATATTGAGAGAGATGCTGATGCACTATTACGTAGACACGTACATCCTTAGTTGCATAATAAGACAGATAATCTATTAATTCCAAAACGTACTAAAAGCGGAAATTCTGTTGTTGAACAATGTAATCAGTATGATTACAGATTAAATAATTATGGAGGTGCATATGAAACATTAAACGATTCATCATTGTTAAGTTATACCACGTAATTTAACAAAAGATCAATCATTTAATGTCTCACTTCACACTGGCTCACTCCATTATTATTTAATACTGATTAGAATGGTAGACAATAGAATTTGCACCATTTACTACGTAATACAGCATATTTTTTGGTTAGTTTATTTAATGATATAACTGATAATGTACACACGGCTTTGGGTGCCGATTGTCGTGCACAGAGTCTATAGACTCTGTGATTGTATAAATGAACAAAGAGAAAAGAGCAAGAATTTTCCCAAGCGCATGAAGTTGAGCTCCGGATTAAGTGGATAGTTAATAATTTTCTCTCCCTGACTTACAAGATTGCCATAGCGATTCACTTCTAGACATGTAGGTAAATGATGACTAAAATAAACGACCCAAGATTTTCTCTTGCCGACCAGTATATTATCGTAGTCTTAAAGAAATTAGAATAAAATAAACTATGTTAAAAATGTTCATGTATACTACTGAAATGAAGATAATATATTTAAGCTAAATGTAATCTATTACAGTTGTAGTAAAATGAGTAACTAATTGTTGAAAATCCAGATCCAACCGCTGCGCTGCGCGCTTCTGCGCTGCGCGCCCCTCTGCGCTGCGCTGGCTCAATACGTTGGTCCATTTAAATGCCTGGCAAGCAGACAAAATTTACATGGCGCCGCGCCATGCTCACTGCCAGACCAATATGCGGTTTGAAGGTTATTTGATGCAAAATCTGGCAATACCGCTCAGAAGAAATGTTTCCACCCATACCCACGAGCTTTTCTCTTTTAATACATTTGATTTGCCATTAAGCTGCCTACATCACTGTCATT